ACTTCTCTCCCTTGGCGCTGTGAAGCTGGTGCTGGGCTGTGTGCAGCCACTGGAGAGCAGGGTGAGCGGCATTGTGGATGGAGACAGCTGGAATGGACCAAGGGAATCTCCAACACCTCATCATCCATCAGGTGGAAGAGGGAGATCAGTGAGCCGTGTGTAGACACTTCTCTGTCATATTGATCATGGACCTGAGACAACATCAACACCCCCTTCATCACCTCTAGAGCCGGGGAGTCCTGTGCCAGCCATGACCACAATGGGGGGGGGGGGGGGGGACATCCCTGGCTGGGATCATCTGAGCTCCTTATCACTTCCCCCACATGACACCATCCACAGATTGCCTCTGTGTACTAATGACAGTCCAGGTCTGCCTGCCACACAGGGCTGGCTCCAGCACAAGGCAGCTTAAGCAGCTGCCTTAGGGTGCCGGAATAGGGGGAAGGGGGGGTGTTAAAATCCAAATCTCCAGCCACATTCTGGGAATTTGGATTTTTAATGGTGATGCAGCATACCTGTCACCTATATGCTATCACATAGTGGGCTATTGGTCCCCTATGTGATAGCAATAAAAGTTATGTTAAAAAAATAATAAATAAATAAAAATAGTAAAGATATAAAAAAAAAAAACATTTAAAGACATAAATAAACATTTTTAGAGCACCCTACACATACACACATACTTTGGCGCCTGCAATTGCCCTACACATGTTATGTATCACCGCACACACCGCAGTGAGAGCAATAATTCTAGCATCAGGACCCCTGCATAACACTAAACTGATGAGCTGTAGGGGATTTGAAAGCGTTGTCTATGAAAAAATATAGGGTACTGACGTTTTTTGCCTCCTCATGGGCGCACACCCGCAAAGCCCCTACAGGCTATCAGTTTCAAGTTATGCAGAATTACTGAATTCATTTGGATGTTTTATTTCTTTTTTTGGGGGGGGGAGGGGGAGAGAGGTGAGAGTAGCTGGTTTTGCCTAGGGCACAAAATACTCTAGCACCTAGACTAGGCTGCATTCACACCTGAGCATTGCGGTTTTGCAGTCTTAGATTGTAAGCTCCAAGGAGCAGGGCTCTCCTAACCCTCTTGTATTAAACTGTATTGTTGCTGTATTGTCTCCCGTTATATTGTAAAGCGCTGAGCAAACTGTTGGCGCTATATAAATCCTGTATAATAATAATAATAATTTTGTTACAGCGTTTCATGGTTTTAGAGCTTCAGGTATTTTTGTATTAGCCAACAGAGAACACTATCATCTGTAACACCACTTGTTGCTGTGTGTGACGAAATTCACATATCAGCTTAAAAATGCACTTATACACACATTAAAAAAAAGACAAATAGGCTGTGCACTGCAAGTGAACTCCAGGTGCACTGAAAATGCAATTGCTGTAGATTTGAGGGGAACATGCAAAGAAAAAAAAAAAAAATTGCATTTTTGCTTGCACACATGATTGGATGAAAGAAATCAGTAGAGCTTCACCTCATTTCAGAGCTTCCCCTCAGACATAAAGCAACTGCGCTTGTAGTGCACAGTATACTTACCTTTAGTAAACCAACCCCATTGTGTGTTGAATGCACCAATGCAATTGTATGGGACTCAAACTGCTCCAAAAATGCTGCAATCTGCCCAATTTAAGCTACAAAAGAAGCACCAAAATGTTTTTGAGTTTGGCTCCTGGCATTTACGCACTCAGGTGTGAACAAGCATATATAGTAAACATATGTGAGAGCACTCAAAGGTAAAACAGCTATGCACAAAGGCAACCAAAGTAAAAACCTCAAAGTAATAATGGTATAATGGTAATGCAGCGCTAAAACAATATTAAGATCATAAAATTGATAAGAATAGCAAAATGCTTATTATAAAAAATGCTGTGATAAAAGTTCGTAAAAAACAATAGTAATAAAGTTCATAAAGTGACTTTCAGTGCTCTTAAAGGGGCTTTTATTCTGGTACGTCTGTGCTTGTGCAGTGATATGAAGAGAATTGCACACTCACCAGACGCGCAGTAAATATGCGCCAGTCTAAATATATCCTAAAGTCATCAAGGTAGGTATGATGTTAGGGTGACTTCCCTCTGATGGGCAGGCTGGTGGAACAATCAGATCCTGGGACTTTAAGTGCACAGTCAGAGTTCCCCTTAAGGGATAGGTGGATGCTGCTTCCTGGATAAGCAGGAGGATCCCTCTGGGTACTGGGATGGATCATTATCACATACAGGGCATCTGAAAATTATTACTCCACTCGGGAATTCAGACACAGGAATATGCCCATAGTGTAGTAGATTAAATCTTCATTTATTGAGAATTGCATACAGAAAGACAAGATAAAATCACAATGAGAAACAGGACTAACCGTCCTTCAATAAAAGTGTGAACAAGCACCACAGAAAAAAAAAATATATTTTTTTTAGGTTTGAGCATTTTGTAGCTTCAAGCTTCACAAAATGTTCAGATGTGAATGCATTCTTAGCTTACCCTACTCGGCTCTAAGGCTAGGTTCACATCTGTGTGGGTGGTGCCGCTGCGGATCCGCACGAAAATCCATATAGCTGCACCACCCTCAAAGAGAAATGCGGACCTGTGGGCGGGTTCCATTAGTTCTAATGGCACACCACCCGCACTGGAAAACACAACCATACTGGGAATCGAGGTTCCCATGCAGGCTGTGGTTTCCAAAGAAGTGCAGGGACTTCTTCCCTGCATGTCAGGGGAGTCCATTCAAATGAATGGGCTCTTGTGCCCACGCAAAATGCGTCCCGCACAGCCGCATATATGTGAACCAGGGCTAATTAGCCCTAGGTTCACATCTGTGTGGGTGGTGCCGTTGCGGATCCACACGAAAATCCATGTAGCTGCACCACCCACACAGAGGAATTCGGACCCGCGGGCGGGTGCCATTAGTTCTAATGGCACACCGCCTGCACTGGAAAACACAACCGCACTGGAAAACACAACCATAGTGGGAACCAAGGTTCCAGTGTGGGCTGCTTTTTCCAAAGAAGTGCAGGGACTTCTTCCCTGTGTGTCACGGGCACTGGAGTCCATTCAAATGAATGGGCTCTCGTGCCCTTGCAAAACGCGCCCCGCACGGCCACATATATGTGAACCGGGGGCAACACCCTCCTTTCTCTCCATAGTCATTATTTGCTGCTGTTTTTTTTAACTCTATTTTTTACGAATAATAGTTTCACTTTTTTTGGGTTGCTTTAGTTTTGTTTCTTCCAAAACTTTATTCGGTACGCATTTCAAAGAACAAATTGAAAAAAAATACCCTTTATTTCATTTGTAAATAACTTTGCTATTCTTTGAAATCATAGAATAAAATGCGCACTTATTGATAGGAACACTTGTTTTAATAGAAGCACTGGTCAAACAAGAAAAAATTGCATTGTGTTTGTATGTTATGTTTTGTTATAGATTGCATAGAAAAAAAAAAATCTATTTTCTCCAGCGAATATACCCAATAGAAAGCCTTGTTCGTACTGAGAAAAAAAATATATGCAATGCTTTTTTTATCCTAAGTAATTGCAATGTTATCACCGACTAGAGCTGAAACATTTGCTCTGATCCATAGAGAAGTGCATGTCCGTGAAGTGAATGGTTAAAACAATTGTCAAGATTTAGAGCAGATCTTCAGATACACTTGGAAGAATCCAACAAAGTCCTAGTGACACTGTTCTGACAGTATGGACATTTAAAATGACCTGGGTAAGATTAAAAAAGTCCCCACCCTTTTCAGTAGCTTTACTGACACATGCGCTGGATTGGGATAGTTCCTAATAGCACCACTTTTACAAAATGACACTATAACTGCACCAAATTAAAACATAAATTCTTCCAGTTCATAGATAATGAAACTGGAGGTAATCAAGACCGACTATAACTTGGTGTACAAAGACAGGCAGAGTGCCTGTCCCTGTATATGGTGTAGCAGGTGGCATATTTTGCTGCTGCTACCTCCCCCCACCCTATTGGTCACTGGTCATTAAGGAAGCTGTCAGCATGCTGACAGCCTTCTAGGAGCCAGTGACACTAGCTGTAGGCGGAGTTTGATGGGGAGGCAGTAGTTCCCTATCATGTCCAATACCTCCTTGTGATTGACAGCAAGAAGTGGGCAGATTCTTTAGGAAGTAGGCGTCGCTGAATCCCCACTAAGCCCTGCCCACCCAACTTTAACAAATCCTCAGTTTCTGCACTGACTATGTGACTGCTGCAGTGGCAGAAGGGAGCACAGCTGCACTGAGGACTAGTGTCCATACGCAGTGCTTGCAGCAAGCACATGAATCTGTTGCCCACGCAGACATTTGTAATGCAGAGGAATGGCAGAATTCTAAAGAGTGTCTTAAACACTCTCTATGAATTCCCCTGACTAGGTCACTGCCTCTCAAAGACTTGTGCTTCCCTAGCAGTGTACAGCCCCGGCTTGTCCATGAGTATTCTAAAAGGTGAGCAGCACAGTGGCTAAATGGTTAGCGCTTCCGCCTGACAGTACTAGGGTCATTGGTACAAATCCCAACCGTGGCACCACCTGCCTTGAGTTTGCATGTTCTCCCTGTGCCTGCATGGGTTTCCTCTAGGTGCTCCGGTTTCCTCCTACACTCTAAAGACATGCTGGTAGGTCAATTGGATCCTGTCTAAATTGTCCCTAGTATGTGTGTGTATGAACGTAAGTTAGGGACCTTAGATTGTACACCCCTTGAGGGTTAGGGACTGATGTGAATGTACAATATATATGTAAAGCGCTGCGTAAATTGACAACGCTATACAAGTACCTGAAATAAATAATTAAGATGGAATTTGAATGCAGTTTATGCGTGTGCGTGTGTTAAATGCGTGCATGTGTGTATAGACATTATTGTGATGATTTCACATACCTGCTGTACCATTAGTGCTGCCTCACGATTTCTCCGGTAATATATTTCTTTGTAATCATCCATCCAGACTTTCAGCCAGACGGACCTGGTTCCGGATGATCACCTGTGTTCCTTTAGGAAAGGTATGAGGACTCTTGCTGCGGAATACATGGCCCACAACTGCACAAGGCAAGATTTCCAGCTGTCCACCACACTGCCACACCTAGGTCACAACAAAAGAGTTGTTCTAACTTCTGAAACAACGAGATTATCCCTAATTTTCCAGTAAAGCAAACATTTCTATTTAAACATTTACCTACTGATATACAATAATATACAGCATGCATGGAAGTGGATCCAAATATAGCAAGCATGAGATCAATGTCAATTTATTATTTCAACAGACCCTATCAGCACAGCTCACTTTTAGGTACAACACACCTGCTAAAAGAACACTGTGGGGTTGATTTACTAAAGGCAAATAGACTGTGCACTTTGCAAGTGCAGTTGCTCCAGAGCTTATTAAATGAGGGGAAGCTCTGCTGGCTTTTATCATCCAATCATGTACAAGCCAACATGCCATTTTTTTAAAAAAATTTCCTTGCATGTGATTGGGTAGTCTTTGTAAAGGGAAGCATTATCTTATTTACGAAACTCTGGAGCAACTGCACTTACAAAGTGCACAGTCTACTTACCTTTAATAAATCAACCCCATAGCATACTTATTTTTCTAGCAGTCCAGCACTTCTCTACCCAATATCCTCTACAAGTATTCCTTCGGTTGGATGTATTCAGTAACAGTTTCCCATCATTCACTTTGGTTCATTCTTCACATACATCCTGTAGTGATCTACAAGTCAATAGGAGAAACCACAGTGAGTGGTGGAGGGAGCAAGCATTCACACACATGGAAGTGTTTGAATATTTGCAGAGGCCATGGAAGTGAAACCAGAAAAGTGTTGCTTTTCAAAAAATGGGCCACCAGATAAGTATATGCAGTCTTTTTAGCCTGCCTGTGCTGACAAGGACACTTTAAAGGGTCAGTCCAACCAGAACTAATATTTCAGTATTTCAGAGATGCTGGAAAGAAACCTCACTTGACGATCTTTTTGAGACTCTACGGGGAAGATCTCTGTGCCGAGTTCCCGGACCTGACTATGGCCATTTTGGTTTATTCTCATACACCTTGCTAGATATTTAATTTATTTTATACTATGCAGAAGGAATTGCTGGAACATGCAAGGATGGACAATAACTCCCAGATAGAGACTAATCTTACTTTTGAAGTATCCAAAAATCTAAGAAGCTGTGGGATACCAAGCTCAAGCTATAACTATCCTATTAGTGGAACTACCATTTTGAAGTCTATATCATGAGCACTTTTTAAAGAGAGGTTAGCCAGTTAGACTACTTAAAAGCAGCCAGGGCCACTGATAAGGCAGAATAGCCGAGCCCCCTGCACCGAACCCCATCAGTTCAAAAGATGGCCCAGACACCTGCTGAGTAGGAGGGCCGGCTGTACTGCCTTACAATGCTGACACTTGTGACTCCCCCTGTAGTGCTGACAACTTCTACACTCTCTCCCTTCGACTGAACTGCGATCAGTATCAGTGCCCCCCCCCCTCCCCGCTGTCCAGGCCCCCTTGTGTGCCCCCTTTCCCCTGCAGCACTTCCAACTTCCCTCCACTCCCCTCCTACCAGCAACTGCTGCAGGCACACAGGGGGATGTTTCAGGAAGGAGAGCAGGTATTTAATGGCCCCTTCCTTTCCTAAATGAACACAGGGAGTGATCAGTACCAATCACTCCTTTGTCCATTCATCACTGAAGCATAGTAAACTGTATTTACTGTGTTTCAGTTTGTGAAAGAACAGCAAGCCGCTCAGCAGAGTGCTTTCCATTCATTCACTGTCTTGTGCAGCTGAGGCTGCATAGAAAGGTACTGATGTATCTGTGTCTCAAATGTCAGGCATCAGGGATCTGTTTAGACCCCTGATATTTCACCAAAGATCCCCCAAGAGAACAGTTAAAAAATGTGAAAAAATATAATATTCTAAAAAATAAAATTTGAACTTTAAATTTGAATTTGAAATTTAATTCTAAAAAATAATTTGAACAAAAAAAAAGGACTTGTTCAAATGCGATTTGCTCTTTGAAAAGCAGCCAGTATTTGGATTGCTCTTCAGACAGCCTTTGACAGTCGATGAAGATACATATTCCCCCCTCACTGCCTGCTTTAACCTCGTGGTATCGCTTGCAGAGCAGAGCTATTCAAATGAATGGGTCTTTTTGATGGCGGTATGAATTCTGTCATGGCTGCAAAGCATAGCATTGCGGCCATGGCATTTTAAAGAAAGTATCATTTGATATTTTCAAAGGGGGAGGGAGGGCGCTGTCAAGTAGGCTGTACGGGGCCCCATGATTTCTAACAGCAGCCCTGAAGGAAGAACTGAGTCCCATAAGCAATCAAGAGTGAAAATAGTATACAATGATCAAACAAAACTGAATAGCAATTATACCAATGTTATATACAATCCTAATGATGACATAGTATATAAAACAATATACAAAAGCAAACTCATAAAAAGTGAAAAAAAAATAATATATATATATATATATATATATATATATATATATATATATATATATATAAATAAAAATATATGTGATAAATTAGATGTGCATAGAATAGAATGCACGTGCAAACAGACTATTATAACAAACAATATCCACCCTTCCACTATGCACCCAGTCTCAGTGACACTCTGAGAGTCCACCGTGAATCACTTGTCACAACACACACTATTCCACTGTAGGGTGTTCCACCATGCCCACATATAGAAAGGATACTTACCAAAGCACCATGACCCCCAGATAATCAGTGGTCATGGTAAGCGTATGTATGCACCTCACTAGCGCAGCTCCCTTCCAGAGCCCAGGAGCCCAGGATGTCAGACAGCCACACTTTAGGATGTTACCAAGGTACATACATATAAAGAGAAATTTGCCCGCAATAGTGTAAAACCATACAGAAAAGTTTATTAAAAGTTGTTAAAACCACTCAGATAAAAAACAATGAATAAACAGCCAGCATAGATTGATAGGTTAGCCAGTTACCGATGAGAAAGTTACCTACATTATTTTGCCTAAATTACAACTTAAAAAAAATACTTTTGAAAGGCTTTCTATAAGTCACTGGTAAGATGTCCCCATTAAACTAAGTTTTAAACCCAGTGTACACTGTAAGAAAATCGGACAAACCATCATCCAGTTTTCCTCGATGTTTTACCGCAGGTCGAAACTGATGAGGGTACTAATTGTACAAAAATTCTCGTACGACAAAGGCTTTTTTTTTGTTGTCTATTGTTTCCGATCATGTGCAGCCTTTTGTATATTAATTTTCTTGTACGAAAACTACACATTAAACAAATATCGTTAGTTCTGTTGTTGAAAAATTTTAGGAGTTTCTCTCTTAGGAAATTTTCATTTGGAAAGTCTGAACCGGGTGTCGAAAGTGGTGTACACACTATATGAAAGTCGAATGAACAATTGTGCCTTGTTTGGAATTTTTCTTCTGATTTTCTCATAGTGTGTACCCCACTTTAGGAGTAGGAAGAAGGCTTGTTGGGCCACAGATAAAAACTTGTTTCTAAACCAATGTATCTCATTCCTATATAATTCTATGCTAATATCAGTACAGTGTTGTTGTGTCATTTAGTGGGTCTCCACTACTTGAACCTTGGAAAGAAAGAGGCACACTCACAACCACATTGATAGCTGTTTTCAGTCTTCCACAGGATTTTATTACTTTCTCACAAAGACCGACATGTCTTGACACAGCTGTAGTAAGTCTTGTAATCATCACATTCAGATGTCTCTAGCCTGACCACACACTGATCTAAAACATTCTTCACATATCACAATTCTATTCTCTCACAATTGAAAGGGATGGTGTACCTAACAGTCCCTGTAAAAACCTTAAACCTTATTACCAGAGTTACACAGGCAACTTTTGAACTTAAAAAAAAAAAAAAAGATTATTTACTGCAACTTTTGTTCACTTTTCAATTGTTTTTTTAATATACATATAAGGCCCTGCCCAACCTGTGGTCCTGGGTTACTTATTGTGTGGCCCCGGAGCCGCTGCAGAAACTAATCTGTGTTTTCCTATTGACTTGTTTTAGTAGTTACTTCTAGCAGCCTGTAAACAGGTTGAATTGCTGGTTTGTGAGAGAGCTGCTGCCCCAGGAGAGAAGGAGTTAGCCCAATTCTTGCACTTTTTGCTGAGCTCTGCCGCTTTCCTTGTGCTGTTAATGAAAGTGGGGAGGGCTCTGCCTAGACAGGAAGTGTACAATCCAAATGCACACATTCCTGCATTAAAAATGGCTGTCTGTATAAGTGGGTGCTGCAGTGACCACATGCCTGATGAAGGGGTCCTGCGAGACTCCGAAACGTTGCCTCGCTGTAACTATGTGATCGTTCATTAAAACTTTTGGATCCATATTGGTGATCCTCGGTGTGCTGGTGACATTTTCCCTTGCTGGCTCTGCCTAGACACACACAGTCTGCATGGTAAAGAAGACATAGACAAGGCACAGAATGCAATCTCCAGCCACTTCACAGAGCAGCTGCCAAAGGGAGCTTTGAATATCTCTAGGGACCTTCCACATGTAAAGAGATTCCTGGGACCTGCAGTCCACCCTGAAGGCACCAGTTTTGGAGATATGCCACTAAAGACTTTCCATGGATGGACTCTTGTCTGTGTAGGTGTGTTGGGGAAGCCACAAGTCTGACCGCCACTACACAGTCTACAGCGTGGGTCAGAAAAGCACATTGAGGTATGAAGACAGTACTGCAGAAGTAAGGTGGTGCAGAGTAAAGCAAGTGGTCACCTAGGATAGCAGAGGCTGTGTGCCTGTGACAAGTGGGACAGCTTCTTGCAACGAGATAGTTGTTGTCGGCACTCTCTCTGTGCGCAGCCTGTCTCCCGCAGTAATGGGAGCAGATCAGCACCATAGAGGTTTCCGGCCTGGTCATAGATACGGAAGAGGAAGGGCTAATGAAGAGCATGTAGGAGTCTGTGCTAGGTTCTTGGTGGGACTCCGTTCCGTTACTTGAAGTGAGGTCACAGAGATACGCTGGACAGGTGGAGTGGGCATATTCTCAGCGTGTCCCTTCTAAACAGACAGTATGGTGTACATTGACACGGAGACAAGTGTTAACTGGAAAACAATTTGTTGTTCAAGTATATGTGGTTAACGGCACAAGTAAAAGGTACCCCATGCATAAGGAGAGTGACTCTCTTCAAGGTGCCTGGCGTAGGCCAGAAGAATCCACCCCAGGATAGGCCTCTCATGTTACCCACACTTGGCACCTGACGAGGAGGGGAACACGAAGGAAGTGTTACCCACCTACTACCCCACAAGCTTACAAGACTTATGTAATATGTTTCCAGTCTATGACTGTCTCCTGAATCATGTCCCCAGTCTCCAACAACTCCTATAGCAAGTTCACAGTCTCTGGCAGTCTCCTGCAGTCATCCGTCACTGACCATCTTTTGTATCAGGTCTGCAGTCTCTGACCATTTCTTGTATCATGTCTGCAGTCTCTGAGCTTTTCCTGTATTATAACCACAGTCTCTGACCATCTCTTGTATCATGCCCATAGTCTTTGACCATATCCTGTTTTGTGTTCGTTGATGACTACACAGTCCAACAAAAAAAAATATGCCTTGGTGCCTTGCTTTTTAGACCTCTCCTTGGGGTTATTTGAAAAACGGATTCAGAAAACTGAATTGGCTAGACTGCATCAGCTCTAGTTTCTTAGCTGTGGCCAAATGTATATATTTTTAGGCAGTTTTTGAAAAGATCTTGCTGATCAACTTGTTCTTCTGTTACCTACTTTGTGTTTTTGTGTTCAGGTTAGCAGATATGTGTCCTTTTATGAAACAGAGATGAGCGGCGATCCTGAGGATCATTGCTGATCTCCGATCATTAGTGGTTTAGGAAACAGAGATGATCAGCGGAGAACATGTTCTCCGCTGATCATCTCAGCACCCAGATGGCCAGTATATGAAGGAGCGATGTCAGCCCTTCACTGGCGATCTGTGTTCTCCCTCCAGATTCTCCAGCCCAGAGCTGGAGAATCAGAGGAACCGCAAATGAAGCAGCGATAATTTACCACTGCTTAGTAAATGGTGTTTCATTGATCTCTTACTGTAATCTCGCGAGATTATAGTACAAGCAGCCGTTTTCCAGCGTTGAAAGTGTTTGTAGATCACCTCTCCCTTCATTCGGAGAACTGATCTACACCGCTTCATAAAAGGCATTCAGAGGAGAACTGTCTTCTTGGAGAATCCCGGAGAACTGAGCAGCGGTCATTTACCGCTGCATGATAAAAGGACACCATAGTGATAGTGTTTACTTACTTCCAACTGTAATTTTACATTGGAAACACTGGATTCTAAAGTATATTGCCACTCACATGCTTTCATTTTTACAGATTGAGCACTGTAGAGGTTATGGATACTTTTTTGTGCGTTTCTTTCATGCAACAAGGAGATTAAATAAGCCACTACACTGAAATATCCTGATTTTTGACAGACGACCAAAGTGAAGAGTGGTATATGGCATTTATGCTGTATCTCAAAAACTAGAGCCAATAGCAGAGGGTCAGATATACCCAGGAACAGACCTAACATTGGAGACATCAAAATTTGTGTTGACCTGTGTCTATTCACTGAATTTTGTGTGTGGATCTTAAGTGATGTCAGGGGCCGCACTTGAGGCCCCCATATCAAGAAAGTTGACTACCACTAATACAAGAAACAGGAGGAGAGTTTATTGTTCATACAAAAATCACAGAAAAAAGCAAAAACGATATGTGACTAACCAAAGTTCCCTGTTAAAAAGATAATAAGGACTTAGATTCTTTTACCTTCTGACAGTCAAGGAAATCTGCACACCTAAGAGACAGTTTGGGTTTATTACTCTACCAGTAAATTTTTGGACTGTGATAGCAACCCTTAGTGACTAGGGGAAAGGAGAGTATACAAATTCTGCACAGCTACTGTACATACTGGGATCTGAACCCAGGATCTCAGTACTGCATGGCAAGAATGACAGCGACCTGGTACAGGTAAAAGGTACCATAGGAGTTATGTTTAGCACACACTCATTTCATGTACTTTCAGGATGTGAATACTGTAAACTACTGTAAATACTCTTTACATAACCATTTATAATGCTCTTGTTCATAAATTATACATATCAAAACTTCAGCAAAATAAAGAAGCAGATAGAATAACATAAGCTTCATGTTTAGCAGGGCACTGCAGCAGTAACACAGTGTAGTAAACACAGCCAGGCACAAAGCAATGATTATCACACTCAACACCAACAACCACTTCCCTCCAGCCCACCAGAAACCACATTACTACAATATACTTACTCGAAAGGACATTTCTATGTTTTTCACCTCCCCAGATTTCCATTTCTTCATCGTAACTTCCGATACGCTCAAAATATTCCTTAGAGATTGAGAAAAGGCCCCCAGCAAATGTTGGAGTCCTGTACAAAAGCAGAACAAGAAAACAAATCTGTGACAATGATGTAGGAAGGACCAAAACAGAAATCACCTTTAGGCTAGCTTCACACCTATGCAGTTTGCGTTTGACCTGTTTGTGCATTGCGTTTTGTTTTTGCCGTGTGTTGCGTTTTTTTTTCTTGTTGCTAGGCAGATTTTAAAACGCATCACAAACACGGCAAAAATGCACTACATGCTTTTCTTCAGCATTTCCACTAAAGTCTATAGAACCATAAACGCATCTTTACGCGTTCGAAAAAAGCCCCTGACCTTTTCCAAAAAATGCTCCTGGTGAAAATACGGAGATGTGAACGTGTCCCATAGGAAATCATGTTAAATGGACTGTAATGCTTTTCTGCAAAATGCTGCAGAAAACGCTTAGGTGTGAACCTAGGGTTAGGAAGAGTTGCAGTTTTAATATATATGTGTATATATAAAAATAAATAAATGAATACCACTCCTTCTGTCAGTTTTGTCCTCTCCTTCCTTCTCCCCTCTTTTCCACCCCACAATCTGTTTACATCATCCTCACGGCTGTCTTCTCCCTATTACTGCACTCACCATCTCCTGCTAATTCTAAAACCATATACTAATAAAACCTCCAGGACTCTGGAGCATGTACCTTCATATAAAATCGCACTCCCATATTACCTCCCTCCCCCTTCTCCTAACCTCTGGAGATCTATCCCCAAACCCTGGGACTCCATCACTTGACTCTGCCCAATACTCCTAACACCCACACCCTCTGGCAGCAGCCACAATCCACACAATTTAGTTTCCATTCTTCTTCTTCCAAAAACCAGCCTCCCCTTCCCCTGCACCCTCTGGAATGCCCACACTGTCTGTAAAAAACTTCCCTCTCTCCACACTACCTCTTCAACCTGTGTGCCATCACGGAAACCTGGCTCCATGATTCCGACACTACATACATGCTTCTACTCACTCCAACAGGCAACACCTTTGACCTTGTTTTCTTCTACCAATGCACTACATGCAACCTCACCAACAATCCTTCCCCTCTCTCTGATCACTACCTCATTAGATTCACTTCTCCCTGTCTTCTACAACCTCTCCCTCCTTCCGCCTAACAGTTACTCCCAGAAACCTCCACCACCTTAACTCTTCACATCTCTACTCTGCTACTGACCAACTCTATGACAAATTCTCACCCCTATCCTGGCCCAACCTAGCCACTTCTGTCTACAACAGCTCACTGTCATCCTGCTTAGACAAGCTTGCCCCCCCCCCCCACAGAATCAGGTCCCGACACCTACAACCTTGGCAAACATATAACACCAGAAGTCTGAAAAAACATAGCAATACTCTTGAGTGCCTGTGGTTCAAGACTAGGTCTCAGAAAGATTTCAACCAATATAGATCTGCTCGTCAAAAATACTACTCCTGCCTCCACGCTGCCAGGCAGACCTATTATTTCGCTCTCATTACCACCTTTTTATCCAGTCTCCGTCAACTCTTCTCTACCTTCTATTCTCTACTTTGTCTTTAATTGCTGCCCAGGATATCGCCAATCACTTAAAAAATAAGATTGATACAATTTGTGATGAGCTCTCTGCTGCACAGACATCTCCACCACTTATCACTCCATGTGATAACCCCACTACTATAGACAAGGTTGCTAAACATTTTTCTAATGCCCACTTAACCACTTTCCTCCTGGACCTGTTCCCTCGCAAATGCTACGATCACCCTCTAGCTCCCGTGTCACTTCCTCCCACGCTTGGCTCCAGGACTTCTCCCAAGTCTCTCCCATCCTATGGAATTCTCTACCCCAATCTGTCCAACTGTCTCCCACTCTATCTACATTTAGATGATCCTTGAATTTCTTAAGACAAGCTTTTCCTGCCCCCATCTAATATCTGTACTTTATTTTCTTCATTAGCTCATCCCCCACAGTTATTACCTTTTGTATCAATTGACCCCCCCCCCCCCCTTTTAGATTGTAAGCTTTAATGAGCAGGGCCCTCTGTTTCCTACTGTATTAAATTGTATTGTAATTGTACTGTCTGCCCTCATGTTGTAATGTGCTGCACAAACTGTTGGCGCTATATAAATCCTGTATAATAAAAATAGAATAATAATAATAATAATGTAATTATTATTACTACTACTACTACTGGCACTTATTTAGCACCTTCAATTTATGCATTGCTTTACATATATATTGTACATTCACATTAGTCCCTGCCCTCACAGAGCACAGTTTAAAGTCCCTTATTCACATTCACACATACAAGGGCCAATTTAGACAGAAGCCAATTAACCTACCAGCATGTTTTTGGAGTGTGGGAGAAAACCAGAGGAAACCCACACAGGCACAGGGAGAACATGAAAACTCTAGGTAGGTAGTGCCGTGCCTGGATTTGAACTGACCACCCTAGTGCTAACCACTTAGCCACTGTGCTGCCATGATAAATTTATGTATATTATAATATATAATAATATGTTTGATTATTTCATTACAATGGCCACCTGTGAGTGGGATATATTAGGCAAGTGAACATGTTGTGCTTGAAGTTGATGTGTTGAAAGCAGAAAAAAATGGCCAATTGTAATGATTTGAGCGACTTTGACAAGGACCAAGTTGTAATGGTTAGACAAGTGGGTCAGAGCAACTCCAAAACTGCAGCTCTTGTGGGACGTTCCTGGCCTGCAGTAGAAGTGAAACCAGTAAACCGGTGACAGGGTCATGGGCAGCCAAGGCTCATTGATACATGTGGGGAGCGAAGGCTGACATGTGCAGTCCAATCAAATAGAAGAGCTACTGTAGCTCAAATTGCTAAAAAAAAAAGTTAAAGCTGGTTCCAATAAAAAGGTGTCAGAACACACAGTGCATCAGTTTGTTCAGTATAGGGCTGCAATGCCATAGACCAATCAGGATGTCCACGTTCACCCATGTCCACAGCCAAAAGTGCCTACATTAAGAATTGTCTGCACTGTCTGAGTCACATTCACAATTGTAATGGGTTGCTATGTAATAACATGGGCCATTCCTGTTTTAAACACTTTGGGGTCTATTTATCAATGTTTTCATACAACTTTCACCTAGAAGTCACATATTTTCCCAAATAAACTAGAAAAATGTGTGAATCCTGGGTGAAACCTGTGTAAACCTTATATGACAATGTTTATAAAAATTGGTTATTTAAATATGTCACACAGTTCTGAGATCTTGAATATTTTTAAATTCCAGTTGTAGACACACAACACAGTTGTACTGTCATTTATACTATATCAATATCATGATGTTTTCTTACTTTATTGGATAGGTTTCATCTTTCCTCTTCTTGTTTTCAGCACTGGGCACATTTTCCCATCCAAATGACAGACCCCAGTCAAAGTTCCCCCGATTGCGGTTATTTCCATATGGGGAAGGGTTGCCAAACTCAAATGTATTGAGATCAATGGTGACGATATCTGGGCTCACCACTGCAGTGTAGTTCTCTGCAATTCTTGACAGTAATGGCTCCAGCCAGCCATAGTAACACTCACCTGGAACAAGCAGAATGTGAATTATGCTTTCATTTTCTTTTCACACTGAAGGCTGCCAGGTGCTTCGCAGCCACAACTTGATCCATTCACAGTCACTGGAATTGCTTTGCACTTATAATTAGTGTTTTGTGTTCACAAAATCTGAAGTTGAAAGCCTATAATTGATGCGCTGAGCCTTTGATTACAAGTCCTCTGCAGTAAAATATAATGACTTTTACAGCAACTACCAAAGTTCAGTAATCCTAAATACAAGAAATGCCTCCTACTGCACTTAACAGAGGGAAAGATAAAGAGTCTTTCACTTTATAAAATGGAAGGTGCCCTGGACGAGGGGTTAACTTAATGCAATATGGGTCTATAGATACATCGTTGAGCTCCTTGGTTTTCAAATCTCCACCTTACAATATCATAATTTGGCCCCAGAAATGTATAACAAGAGCATATAGGGAAGCACTTCATTAGTTTATTATCCAAGTGGCTCAGAACCCAAAAACCTGGTACGTTCCATTATGTAAATTGCAACCAAGGCTTACATAGCGACACTCTAGCCTGCTGCTACCTCCCTTTACCTCCCAATTGGTAATGGAAGCCACCCATCATGTTAAGTGGCCAACAGAGTGGTGTGGAAGGTGGGAGGGTGGACCAGAGGGCCTTCATGAAAGATCCGGTGATAATTAGGATTATAGCACTTCCAGGGTTTTTACCACACCCTAGGAATAAACTGATAACATACAAGAAGGCCCCTTGTGGTGACAAACGGGCCAGTTTATGATCTCTCTAGAAGCCACAAGTTTGCTTTAAACCTAATCCTGCAATTAGGAAGGGCTGAATTCTAAAATAATAGCTCAACAGCTTACTAGCTTATTCCACAGGAATCTGACCAGAGGAACCTGAATTACAAACTACTTTATTTAATGCTAAATTATTCACCATTATGCAGTCGCACAGTATTAAACCTTTGGCCTCTGGCTCCCCATAGCATCTACATGGTCTTTTATTCAGATATAGATGTCCTTAGCTAAGCTGATGATGGGCTAAAGAAGCATCTTTTGGTATCAGTGACACATCTATTCTTGTAGTATCCAGGTTGACCAATAGAAAACTGCCTATATAGAATATCACCCCTGGCCAAAGTGTCCTCAGTGACACTAGGAATCCAAAACAGACAGCACTGAAACATTCTATGCAGAGATCGGACTACCTTTACATGTAACTGTGTGCAGACTGTGCTATCCATTGCTGGTGGGCAACAGAACCCTTAATTATATTGCATTCTCCTTCTCTAGGTCTTTGTTCAAACACAGAGTTTATATGTTCTCCCTGTATTTGTGTTGGGATTCCTCTAGGAGCTACTGTTTGCTCTCTCAACCAAAAAAACATATGGACAAGCTCACAGGCTAAAAACACACCCTGGATTTGGCTGCTATCTTGCATGATTGATTGCAAGCTCCCCACTTTCACCAGTCAATCAGGATAAAGCTGACCCTCTGCCCAGAGGTGTTATGAAATAAACTTTACTTACTGAATTTAAATTGAGAGAATTACTTTTTTTTATATCACTTTGAAAAACAATCATATTGTACTCACAATGTGCATCCAAAAAGGTCAATGTGTCCCCTGTTGCTACAGAGGCGCCCAACAGTCTGGCTGAAATAAGCCCCTTTCTTTCTTTTTGTCTGACCACTTTGACAATCTGCAGAGGTTTCACATAGTCGTCCAGTTTATCTTTCAAATAATCTTCCAGAGACAAAAATTAAAAAGATGTTAAAGACAAATTTGTGTCAAAATGTTAAAGGACAATTTAGTTTAAAACCTGATATTTTCAAACAATGAAAGTGTCTAAACTAGTGTTTCTCAACCTTTTTTAATTCAAGGTACCCTTTAAAAATTATGCACAGAATCTGGAGGCACCCCATTCTAAAATTTAAACTACGGTAATAGTTTTACATAACACATCAACATACACACACACAGGACACCTAATATGAGAGGTCATTTATTCCTCCAAAGTAAATACACCTTTGCATACTGGTACTGACTAGTACTCCAATGTTCCTCCTCTTCCTTACTCAGTTAATGTGACCCTAGTGCTGACAGAGAGGGGCAAACAAGGATGCTGTACAGGGGTCCAATATCTTCATTAGTTAGTGAAGTCATTGGTTGTTGGAATACTGGCAGTTAGAAGGATGTAATGGCCCACAATGAAGACCTGTAGCCTTGTGTAACTAAAAAGCAGGCTTGATCCACCCTCTGGCTTGTATACAATTTTTGGGAAATGTTTAGGAAATTTGTCAAGGCACCCCTGAAGAAGATTGAAGGCACCCTGGTTGAAAAAAAGCTGGTCTAAATCACCTTTTTGTAACATGAAAAAAGCAGAAATGTTGTAAGGAGGGTTACTGAGACTGTCCACCTCTGTCCATCATTATCATTCCAAAATTATATGAGTAAATGATTGCAAGCATAACTCATGGTTTGGGGCAAAACGTCTGGCTGTCAATAGGCCAATCAGGTTCCTCTTCTTCTCTCTACCTGAAGTGTCTATCCATGACCCAGGGGAGGAAGAATAAGCTGCTGCAAGGATGGCCAAGCTGTACAGCTCCTACACTTGAAAGGTAGCCTCCAGACAGGGCTACATGCCAAGGAGTGAGGGTTTGGACCCCCATAACCCCCCTTACCTACACCATTTGCACTGGAGGGTGGGTTTCAGTAACAGTGAGCAACTGAATCAAAAACCTCTTTAAAAAGGTCCCCGTACCCATTAAACAACAGTCAAAACAGCCAGAATAGGCTGTGATGCCTTTAAGCTACTTTCACATTGCAATGATTTACTGGAGAGAACGACAGTATTACAGAATGAAAATCCTTGTCCAATTGCTAAAATTGTCCAAGGATTCTGTGATGCACTTCCTCCACCTCTTTGTAAAATCCCAAACATGAACAGTCATGTATGACAACAGCTTATTTTAGGGATAAGGGTTAAAAGTGTTCACTTTTCAAATCACCCATCAGTCTATGATCAGCTTTAGAATAAGAACCCTATTTGCAGCAAGTCTAAGACTTTGGGGTTGCTACAGGATAACCCTTTGAGCATTGAAGTAGGCTTTGGCATTAAGTAAACTGGTAAAGGGAACAACGGATTCATTTTTGTATTGCAAAGTGCGAGAGCCCTCCAGTTGCATTTCAGGAGTAGGTTTCCCACCCAACCTACCTAACATCCCGTCAACATGTAAATGGGTCAATAGAACATTCCCTTTTACTATACAAAGATAATGCAATAAATATCCTCCTAAAGGGATCTAAATCATGATAATGATAAGACACTGCGCCACCCCTTCAGTATACAAGTGCCAATCTCCTATTGGATAATTTACTCATTTATTGGAATGCAGGACATAGGCTGCATCATAATGTACATTTTAACAGTGGATGCATATGGACAAATAACTGGCTCAAAAGGGACCTTTCACTAGTTTTCAGAATAGATTGGCTTGCCTGGAAATGTGGAAGATAGCAGTGAACTTCTAGGTTAGGGTGATCTGCTTTGCCCATCACTGTTGTAAAACAGTGACTCTTAAAAGTGTTACTAAACCCACATCTGTAAAATCAGTCTGTATATGCAGTAAAGCATGCTTGTTATACTCACTGGAACCTAAGGGGTTAATCCTCCACATTCTGTAAAAAGGCTGTTTGATTCCATCTTCTCTGATACTCCCCTTCGTCTACTGTCCCCAATCCATCTACTCATAGTACAGAACCACTCTGCACATGCTCATGTTAGTGTGTATTGCTAGAGGAGTTTTTTTTCTTTCTTTGGGAAATTGCATGTGATCAGCACAGGGCTAATCAACACTGTCCAGACAGAGGGTCAGGGGTCATGCAGCCACATAGGACAGTCAGAGAAGAATGAAAACTCCTCCTCCAAGCTTTAACCAGTGCTCAGCTGGACACTGATAGAAGTCACAAGACTATTATACAGTATACTGCTGATGGGAACAGTTATTTAGCAGTTTATATTTACCAAAATAATTGTATTTATATGTTTATGTACTGTGGGAGACCAGATATAGTGAATATAGGGTCTTAGGTTTAGACTTAGAAAAACAGATGAGAAGTTAAAGTGTCACTAAACCCATCTAGTATTTTACACTTCTACACGAAGCCAAGCATATGGTAAATCAATATCATTTCTTTAAAATATTTGCACTTATTCCTAAACGTTTTGTAATTTTATTTTTTTTATATATAATCTTTATTTTTCCTTATAAATAATGCAAAGAACAGAAAAAAAGGACTATAATTATCAGACACTGCGTTAAGTTTTAACTTGGCTTAGGAACTAACAAATATTGTAGATCCCCTCATTAAAGCTGTACTTCATTCATCAAATACCACAGTAGACTGAACCCATCTTCTTTACAGTGATTTGTATTTGTATTATATCATTGTATTCTCAATGATATAATATGTATAATAAAGGTGCAGTGCTAATAAGAAAAACACTAAGTGGAAGGCGCAAAACAATAAATATAATAAATGCAAATAAAGGTGACTTAATAATGAATATGTGACAATAAAAAATGCAATCTGAGTGAAGCGCACTGATCGGCACTAAAGTGACATAAATGAATAATATAAAGGGAGGAGCCTGCATACTGACATCACGCTGCCGTGTCCGCATGATGGTCCGCCAGCTATCTTTGTGAGCGATTTTTAGCTTCTTTACATGCTCCACGTGGATGCTTTTAATACTGCAAATAAAATACTACACTATTAGCAGTTTCTGTTTCTGGGCTCCTTTGTGAGCTGGTTCCTTCAGGATTTTTGCCATTATTCATAACGAGGAGTGATCACTGTGCTGGATGAATCTCCTATTCTGGTCCATCTCAGCTTCAGTTTGTCTGTGCCTAACGGGAACATAGCTTTACTGTATGTGGAGGAGGTTGCTACCTATGCTTCATATGCGCATTTTACATGCGCTTCTGGTGAGTGCATTGTAAAGAAGTCACTTTCCCAGATTCACTTATCACAGGAAGTCACAACCTTCATTTGGACTGAATTTCATTGTTTAACATTGGACTTTGCATTAGTTTTCATTTACCACCCCTGTTGATTTATTTCACTACAGTCACTAATTTTGTTGCCACTATTGCACTGCCATTCCAGTGCTACACTATATTCATTTCATTATATTATTCATTTATGTCATTTTTAGTGCCAATCAGTGCGCTTCACTCAGATTGCATTTTTTGTTGTCGCATATTCACTATTAAGTCACCTTTATTTGCATTTATCATATTTATTCTTTTGTACCTTCCGCTTAGTGTTTTTCTTATTAGCACTGCACCTTTATTATGCATATTATATCATTCAGGATATTGAGGGTGGTCCTTTGTGCCAGCGGCTTGCCTCTTTCCCTGTGCGCTCACTGACATCTTTTTGTTTATTTTAGTTATTTGTAAGTAACTTTTACAATCTCAGGTGTTGTAAATAAGCAATGCCAAAATTAGTTTTTAAGGTCCAATCAACTTACCATCTACGCTGGCATCATCCACCATTATAATCTCCTTGAGAACAATGGACGGTGACGTATACATAACACTGTATACAGTGCGCAAAAGAGTAGACCAGGCTTCATTGTGGAACACGATTATGATGCTAGTCGTGGGCAGTGGTGGACAACGCTTAAACTTCTGTTCAATACACCTAAAGGGAAAATACCAGTCAACCAGAATGTGAGTTATTTAAAGGGTTACTCCACTTTCATGAAAAAAGAATTAACAAAACAAAAAATAATAAATAGTATACTGTATACAATTGCGATTCAAATCATATTGCGATTGAATATTATTTAAAATGTGCTTTCCTTTTCAATATGCAGTGCTGTAATTCTCTGTAAAATGCAATGCAATATGGCTACCTGGAGGCGTTCCATACACAGACATGTCATTTCCTGCCTGTGTGATTGGCTCAGTGATTTTCCTAGAAATCTGCACTAAGATACAACATATTTTGCCATCCCCTGCAACATGTCATTTTTGGTGGGATACTCCCAAAAGGAAATCAAGTCTAAAAGGGATGCTGACCCTGCAGCTTTCCTCATTAGAGACCTGCAAGTGCAGCAGCTGATTGATAATTATAAATCCACTCACATACAGATTTACCCTGTAGATAGACACAGATAAACAAACAGCTATTTCTCCAGAATAACAAAAGGTAGGCATCTGCAACAACGTTTGTTAAAATCCTTGCAATGTACACAGACCCCCCAGAGAGGAATGTTTTTTTCTCAATAAAAGTGGTGTCACTCCTTACGTAGGAGTCGAGAGGGAGTTTTTCAGCTGGTAGTTATCAAAGTGAAGATTGCAGAAATATATATGATCTTCTTGTGTTATATAGAACAGATTTTATTCATTGCTGACTTGTTCCGGATTGGGTGGAATTATCTTTTACAGGATGAATAAACAGGAGTACCCCAGTCCACTCCTCAGTAGAGGAAGAGACGTATCCACTATACTATACAGGATTCTGTATTCAGAGTGGAAGGTAATGTGCCTCATCTTTTGTAGTACTGCTTGAGCCTTGTGCGGACTCAAAGCAAACAGAAGCACAACTTGGTTCATCAGACCTTATATAAAGTACCATCACATGAATATACACATCTCACCAAGGAACCAGTAATTCCCAGGTGGTAGTCAAAATCAGGGGTGGCTCTTAGGACATTCTCTTGTAGCCACCTAGGGTTTTCTTGCAACTTTTATCAAATTATTTCAGCCATGTCTTTAACCGATCACAGAAAAAAAACCTTACAAAATGAAATTATACTACAAACATCAACATTATAACTTGAAAAGCCCTGTCTGCCCAAAGCCTCTATTTCCCATACTGTCAGTGCAAACCATCCATACCTTTCAGTTGTCAGTAGTCTGGTTTTTTGGTATTATACAAACAGACTTAAATAAATACACCCAAAGTCCAAAAAAAGTCCAAAGAAACATCAATGCGTCACTACGTCACTTGCCCTGGACGCGTTTCGTGATGCGTTGACGTTCCCGGAAGTGCCGTGGCGGCCATTTTGGAGTCTGGAACACATGGTTGGTCATATCCCTAGGACTTTCAGTCTCTATCTGGCATCCTTCTAGAGCTTAAGGACCATCGTTTTGGAGCCATCGTTGGGTATTATCGCTGTATATATAACCTATATGATCTGGAAGCTGTTTTTTATCAATTTTAATGTATATGAAGAGTGTTTGGGGATTCTTCACCAATCATCTGGATCAGTGTGTATCTATTGATCAAGACTGAGGACTTTATGTGTATATCTTTTCCAAATTTTGGACTTTCTTTGGACCTCTTTTGGACTTTGGATGTATTTATTTAAGTCTGTTTGTATAATTTTCTTTTTTTGTTGGTACTTCAGGGGAAGGATTGTGAAACAACTTAATTGGGTTTTTTTATTAAGGTGGGTGCGTGCTGTTCCATATTTATTCTGTTTTTTGGTATATAGCAGTACCATGATATACTGTGTTAGCCATGCGTAGTAGTAGAAAACTAAAAATGTAGGTGACACTTTTCATATGGATAAATGATTATATTTTTTAGGTCCAAGCTTTCAAAAACACTTTCCTTCTCCCAGCATTTTTTTTCCTAAGTAGAAAAATCTGTGGGACCATGTCTTGTTGATATAGATTTTAAGAAGAGGCTGCCTGCAATCTAAATTACATACACACAAATTATTTAGCTTCCATTTATTAGTTACAATCTGCAGTAGGTATTACATGGCGTTTAGAGAAGAGGAAGGATACACTGCATACTACAGGTTATTGGCAAAAGGATGGCAGTCTAACTGCTGTTCCTAAACAGGACTTTAGGAGCTTTTGGAATTTTTTGCCAAAACCCTTGAACTCAACTCAATAAAAGCCTATGTGTCCATGCACACATAGGCTTTTACCAAAATTCAGGAGCAGCAGAGTTTAGAGGCAGTTAAACATTCCTCTGCTGTACTCCCAAGAATGGCGTACAGGAGAGGAACGCTTTAGCAAAAAAAAGTCAAACGCGGCAAAAATGCATGTAAGGTCCACCTAAGCTCTAGATGCATTCATTCATTTCAAGGACTCTGGCAAATTAAATGAATAAACGTCTAAGTGTTAAACGCATTTGTCTGCTGCCAGGAAAGTTAGCATCTAGGGGTGTTCCAGTGTGCATGTATCGTTAGGAAGAGGCACCGTGGAAGCCCTGATTTGTCTGCTAGTGACCATTAGAGGGTCGTACAAGGACAGCCAGGTAATTAGCATTTTTTTTTTTTATAGCATCAGTAATGGCAGCCTACAAAGTTCCCATAAAGTGCATCTAAAGCTAAAATGTTTTTATGTCTTGATAGAGTTGTCAGGGATTGGAACCCTTGTCACGTTTCAATTTCACGCTGTGTGTCTTACAAGGGAGATTCACCCTCTCTATGTGTCCTGGTGGCTATTGTCACCAGACTAAAAGTGAAAGAAAATCCACAATTTTGAGCTGTTACAGCTGTCTAAACAAGGAATTTGTCCAAACTTTGGAGAGATATTCTCTTATTTTCCGTTAGGGAAACATCTCCCCAATGAGACACTCTATCCAAAATGAATAAAATATGTTTTGGCTTTAGATAGTCTATTGTCTAGCCTAAAAAACATGACATGTAACATGACAAAAATTAGACGCTCAGCATACTCAGGAGGCCTTGTGTCTGGTCCCAGGTCCCGATGTAATGAAATTCTGTCACTAGCAAAGGCATTGAAACAATGTTTCTTTTCTCCTTGTTCTCGCTCTTCCTGCTCCTCAGGGGTGAGTTTGTCCATTTTAAATGGCTTTCCAGCAGCTCCTGGGGCATTTGAATCCTGAGGTGGGCGCTCAAGGAAAGGCTTAAGTTCTGCCGCTGTATAATATCCAGGTAAACACCGTCTTTTTCCATCATCATCAAACTGCTTTTCTGGCGCCTTGATCTGCATTTTTGGCATTGAATCTTTAATATTATTTACAGCATCCATTACCATGTCCAACATCTTTTTTTTCTTCACACGGGAACCATCATGTGCTGAAAGCTCGTCCATTTCTCGATCAACTACTTCTTTTTGTATTAAGAACACAAAAGCCATAAAAAGGAGGGTGACAGCACCAAGCTTCCAGTGCATGAATCGCTGGCCTAGAACCAGCCTTTTAAAGTTTGTCATGTCTATTTTTGCACTCGTCAACCAACGAGAAGAAAATGTAATCTACAGCGTAGCCATTATTTTCAGGGTAACGTCATCTTCCAAGACCTATAAAACAAAAGTTTTTAAATTACTTAAATATACAAAGTAACAAAACAAAATAAAATGGTGAAATCCAACAAGGCATACATAATAATTAGTCTACTAAACTGTAAAGGCAACTGCAACCATTTTTCTACTTTTCCACAAAGGGAAGAGTAAGGACTCGCTCATTTCAGGGGTCAAAAACAACCAAAAGTTGTGATGCATGAAGCATATTAATTCCTAGAATAAGATAGCTGCATGATTGCCCCCCCCCCCCCTTCCATCAGGGCTTGAGATTGAAAACATAAATGGACTGGAAGTGAACTACAGTGAGCTGGACCTTTACAAACACAGTTCTAGTCGGCAGCTGGTTTGGCTGACAAACCAGCTGCTGGCAAGACCTGTGCTTGTAATCACACTGGAAGAAATACCATTAAAAGGTCCTGTTCACGTCTAGTCTATTCATACGGTTTTCAGTCCCAAGCCCTGATGAAGGGGGCACAGTTCTGGACCTGTGAAATGTGTTGGTTACTCTTTGTCCTCCTGACTTTTGGTCAGTGGTGCAGTGCTTCAATTTACATTTTTTGTTTCATTACAGTACAAGCCAAGGATAGTGTCGAGATCCTCTGGAGTGTAGAGCCTATCTGCCCAGGAAACAGATCATCTAAATTAGGGGTCTCCAAACTTTTTAAACAAAGGGCCAGTTTACTGTCCTTCATACATTTACGGGGACTGGACTGTGACCGGCGGGAGTAGAAAAAGCCTCAGCGTTACTGGGAATAAGACACTGGGATTAAAAAATTACATAACACTTGTGCCAAGTAAGCAGAGGCATAGTGCCCCATCATTGGTATTAGTGGGAGGAATAGTGCCCCATCATTGGTATTAATGGGAGGAATTGTGTTCCATCATTATTATTAGTGGGAGGAATAGTGCCCCATCATCGATGTCAGTGGGAGGATTAGTGCCCAATTGTTTATATCTCTGGAAGGAATAATGCCTATTCATTGATGCCAGTTGGAGGAATGGGGCCCCACTGTTGCAATCAGTGGAAATTTTGGTACCTCATCAATAGTGTCAATGGGAGGAACAGTGCATCACCAATGGTGTCAATGGGAGGAACAGTGCATCATCAATGGTGTCAGTGGGAGGAAAAATGTCTCATATCAGTCGGAGGAACAGTGCCTCAAGGGCTGGATAAAGGCAAGTAAAAGGGCCATATTCAGCCCACGGACCACAGATTGGGCATCACGGATCTATATCAACATCAATATCTTTAAATATCTTTTACATTCTTAAGCAATACTAAGAAGATAATCTTACAGATCTAGCACTATCTTTACAATTTCCTTAGCAATAAAAACATGGCAGAGATTCTAAATCTTCTCTACTCTATCTATATAAAATAAAAGCTTGGGCCGGAGATGGGCTTTAGGAATGACCATTATTTCAAATTGAAGAGCCTCTTATTAACAGATCCCCTCCTGATCAAAATGGAGCTTGTCCCATGTGAAAGGGGCCTTAGAGTTTAAGCTTTACTTACTGACTTTATACTTTTGAGACTCAAAAAGCACTAAAGCCAAAGACAGTCAGGCAAATAGCACTTCCAAGGGGAGCTCAACAATAGCAGCCTACATATTTCTCTCATGACAATTTTCCTTTAAATAGGTAGAATTATGTAGCCATTAATGAAGTTATTAAGTAATTAAGTTATTAAGTAGCTAAAGTTAGTTAAACTTTATAGGTCAGCATTTCTCCATAAGCTTCCCTTTAACATTTATTAAAGCAAATGTTTCAGTGATTCATGTGAAAGTCATGAAGCATATTAATTCCTAGAATAAGATAGCTGCATGACTGTGACGACTCATTATATGCAGAAGGAATACACTGAATAAACAGGTGTGCCTATTTAGCACAGTTCCACATCTGCAATACGCATTGCTAGGCTCAGTGTAGGCTGATTTGACCTTTACAATGCCTGAATTCACAGTAATTAAAGAACACAAGTCTCCCTAATATGTAATTAAAGTGAAAAGAAACACATTTCTGTATATGTTATGCTGTTGGACACAGCACAAATTGCCGTTACAAGAATTCAGCTGTGTGGAGCCACTAGAGAAGAAAAAGGACAACAACAACAAGAAACAAATAGGTTGGGCCGTCCAAGCTACATCACCAAACTCATCTCAAATTATCACCAAAACCATCCACTTCGCTCCTCGTAAGATCTTCTGTTATCTTGCGTCTTCCACACCTCCAGGAGTTCTCCAGAGCATCTTACCTTCTATGGAACTCTATCTCAATCTGTCCGACTGTCTCCCAATCTATTCTTTTTTAGATGATCCCTGAAAACCTACATCCTCAAAGAAGCTTATCCCACCTTCCCCTCAAAACTGGGCTTCAACCTTCTTCATCAGCTCATCTTTCACTGTTATTACCATTTGAACCACCTGCAATCCCCTCCTTTTAGATTATAAGCTTTCAAAAACGGAGCCCTCCTAACGCTCTTGCATAGCATGGTCTCCCTTTGGCAGGCCATAGACTAGTCAAAAACCAAGCATGCGGTCTATCAAAAAATGAAAATAGCGCATACAATTGTGCCATCATTTGGTTCGTTTTTCAAAAACAAAATCCAGCTTGTTGGATCAGGCACTTTCGATTGCGACTCAAAAATCTTGTATTGCAGATGACACACTAATGATGTGAAAAACGAACAACCAAGAATTTTTATTCGGTTTTCAGCTCGTCTATGGCCTGCCCTAATTTTGTAGTTTTGTGCAAACTGTTGGCGCTATATAAATCCTGTATAATAATAAGACATAAACTGGTGAAAATTGAACCATGCCTATGTTGTTGGACATTAGAGTGTAAGTGTAGCCAACATTTTGGCTACAGTAGGGAAGGGTTAAAACGCCTATCAGGTTATTTGTTACTGTCGGTGTCCTGCTGGAGAGATATCCCTTCACTTCCCGTCTTAAAAACAAAAGATTATGTCAGAGATATCTAAAACATTTGTCCCTATTGGAAGATTTTTCCTAACCCTTTTTTTTCATGGCAATTCTAAAATTTAGTATACCCCTTTGCTTTGTGTATTGGTAACTAAGGTCACCAGACCAAACAGAGGAGTTTATCTCCCCATTAGATACACAGACCACAATGAAAAAACATGACCGACGTTCTAATCCCATAACATTCTATCAATTAAAAAAAAAAAAAGTTTTGCATTTACAAATGCTTAACTGAAGATATTAACCCTTTATTAAATTATTCTTCTATCATTGCAAAATATCAGAACTTCACCTTCAGGGTGTCAGGTTGCTCAGCATACAGTAAACAGCCTCCAGCACTAATAAGACAAGATTTTTGGCAAAGTATCTTGTGGGTGCTTTGTACAAAAAGAATACAGCAAGGTGACCTGAATTGCAATCTTATCAGAAATGTAAATTACATCAGAGAAGAATTGTAAAATGCTCTTAAAGGATAGGTTCACCTTTGGAACATGTTACATGCTCCATCTGTTTTTAGGGTGGAAAATGTAACATGTTCCAGCATCTGCAACCCTCAATCCCACCTTCCTGTGACAGAGGGTGGGGGATCTTCTCCCTACACCCGCTGTCACAATTTAAAAACAGAATGGCCATGTGTGGTTTTCTGTAAATGAATAGCCTGCAAGTACCATGAGCCATTGCGGCTGATGGCTTGCAGTTCTCAACGAAATATGAGGGGGTTGGTGAGCTGTGTGGTGGTTCATTGATTCCTCCTAATCTCAAGTAACTGCCTGTCCGTACAAGGTACGGGTGGACAGCTATCCTGAGAGTCTGCAGGAGCCTGACACTGCGCCTGTGATCTGCTGATCGAGGGTTCAATGCTCTGCAGGCTCCTTAGAAAAAAAATAAAATAATAAATGCACAATAAATATGCATTTACTATTTTTTCAAAAGGCGAACTTACCCTTTAACTTGGATCAAAATGGATAACAGGGACATTAATAGAACCGACATTTGTCGCGTTATAAATTTGCATTTTGTGTTTTTCATGCATTTTAGATGCTTTACCCTAAAGCTTATGTAACATGTTTGTATGAAAACTGTATCAAAGCAGGCATTCTTACATACACGCTTTTATTCTGTTTATTTATAAAATGTATAAAGAATATGTGAAAACCAAATACAAGAGGAAATGCTATGTATTAGGGCATTGAATGAATATGATATTTTATATAAACCTTAAAAAACATACATTTACCATGTGTCTGTCTTCTTCAAACTAAATCATGAAGTAAATCAAAACCATGGAGAGACAGGGACTTTTCCAGCACCCGGAATGCGCAAAATGTAATTAAGGGCTTCAGTCCACAAATGCTTTTTTCAAAAATGCTGTCCTTCACTTCATGAAAACAAATCTACTTCTTTCTTACTAAAAATTAATTTTTTCAAATATCACAAAATAGTTAAAAATGGGTACACAGAAGAATGCACCTTGAAAAATTGTAGGTTTTGCTACTTTTATAAGTGTTCTACAATTCGGTTTAGTTTTTCAAACTTACTTGTACACATCCATAATTA